CAACTTTTATAAGATTCTTTGCAAAAACCTCAAAATAAGTACTTCTGATTTAGTATTTACATTATTTTTTGTTTACACCTTAGAAAACAATTTGTTAAAGACATGGTCACTGCCCTTAATTTAGGGTATTGGGGCACAATTTACAAATAATGTTATATTCATCGATGTAAACTGTATTGTGGTTTTCACAAAATAAGCACAGCTGTTCTGAATATTGGCAATAATACGAAATCAGCATGTTAGAATGACTTTGACACTGGAGCGTGTGATTTCTAAAGACTTCTTTAAAAATGAATAAAAAATAAAGACCCCAAACATGTTTTATATATACAGCTATGAAAAAATTAAGAGACAACTTAAAAAAATCTCCTGATTTACTATTTATATCTGTGTTGCAGTAAAACAGCCTGATTGATGTTTTATTCTAAACGTACTCATGTTTTTTTCAAATAAATTCTTAAAATAAAAATATTGTTGTTCAGTGCTTTTTGTTGTTGCATAAAATAAGAAAAAAGTGCCGTCCCAGCAAACAATTTTGTGTTTATTAGACATCTAAAAGACATCTAAACATAGAAAGCTTGGCTAAAACCAGGCTAAACTTGGGCTGCAGTGAAAAGACAATAGGCATCTAAGAATAGCCCAAAACAAGACCATTCCTCAAACAGACAAATTAGACAAACTTTATATGTGTAGTCGTACATTTCTGTTTAGTTTAGTTTTGGCCTATTCTAAGACGTCCATAAGATTTTCACTGACAGCCCAAATTCAGCCTTGTTTTAGCCAAGATGACTATGTTTAGACGTCTATTAGACATCTACTAGACTTCTTTTAGAAAACAACAAATGCTTGCTAGGATGCTTTAGACATTTTTAGACAATGTTTTAACTTCAGAAGAGTAAATCCAATTAGATGCACAATGAAAAAAAATAATTAATTGGATTTACTATGTTTTAATGTAAGTGGTTGCGAACAATTTATATGAGCTGAAATTAAACAAACAAATAAACTTAGTAATGTTCAACTTAATTTGTTTGTTCATATTCAGCGCTTATAAATTGTTACCTTACTACTTACCTTAAAAAATTAGTAAATCCTAATATTGATATTAATACTAAATATTAGGAATTACAAAAAAATGCAGGATGCTAAAACCTACATTTGTAGATCTACCTTTTGAAATACATATTCACTACTATCAACAACACATATATAGCAAACGACAGAATATTTAAAGATATTTAACCTAATAATTACTTGACTATCTGTCTGCCAAATGAATGCACAAACCTTCAAGGCATCCTATTGAGCTATTTTAGATCACAATGACATGCTCTGAAAATAAAACTGATTTGGGTCTTGCTTATAACCACCTACTTCTAAGATTACTAGGTTTTTAAACCATATTGTGTTGCAGTTACTACAATTCATAAATTACATCTAAAAAAATTAAAACAATCCCACTCCTTTAACAAGCCACAAGGTGGTTAAAGGTCCCATGAAGTGCTTTGAAATGTCATTTTAGTTTGATGTTTGACATAATTTAAACTGAAAGCTGAAAACAGGGTGGGACATACTGTAGCTCTTCCCTTAAAAAAAAAAATAACAGTCAATAGTGTTTTGTTTTTATCACAGCTCTGCCAGTGAGAGTGGTTGAGCTCAAGCACATGGCAATAGCGTCTTGAAGAGGATGGGACATGTCAGATACTAGAGAGCATTTGATTGGTCAGAAGATTAAATTTGAGGTGATGTCAAAAATATCAATGCATGTCGGTGCCAATAGCCTAGTGGTTAAGTGCGCTGACGTATGGCACCATGGTGCTCATGGCGACCCCAGTACGATTCCCGGCTTGGGGTCCTGTGCTTATCCTTCCCCTCTCTTTGCTCCTAATGTTTTCCTGTATTTCCGTCACAGTCCTATCTAATAAAGGTAAACACCCCCTAAAAATTATTATTGAAAAAAAAAAAAAAAAAAAAAATATATATATATATATATATATATATATATATATATATATATATATATATATATATCAATTTATTATAGGCAAAAGTGACAAATTGCAAGCTCTGCATGTTTATATTTTCTTCTCAAAGCAAATTTTGTCACTGTAGGTCAAGTAGGTCTGCACAATGTATCATTTCAGTTATGATATTGCAATGTGTGCATGCGCAATAGTCACATCGCAAGATATGCAATGTTGAGTCGGAATTATAGTTGACAAGGAGCCACAGAACACATGCGATTTAGAGTCACTGCTAAATTTAACCATAATAGAGTAAAAGTTTATCATTTGCATGTGGTTTTAGGAGTTCAAAACAATTGGGCGCAAGAAATTATGATGTTTGGAGGTGCATTATTGTAATTCTGTATGGTATATGAGTCTGTCTGTGAGTTGAAAAACTAAGTTGATAGCTCAAAGATAGTAGGAAAACCACTGATGAAATTATGACGTTTCGTATTACAAGAACATCACAAGGCTGGCAAGGAACATCATTTCGAACCCTAGTCATTTGTTGAATCGTGACTTTACACCATTAAAATCTAACCATCGATTTGAAGTCCTAAGTTTTAACAAAAGTTAAATTAAAACAGATAGTGATTGCTCTTTAGAGATGACTACTTACTAGGAGCATGTCTATGGTGCTGATTTGGAATTAGTCAATTAACTTAAGTTGCATGAAATCGGGGAACCCGGGGAAACCCACGTAAGCACGGGGAGAACGTGTAAACTCTGCACAGAAACATCGGCTGGCTTGGTAAGGATTAGAACCAGTGACGTTCTTGCTGTAAGGCAAAAGTGCTAACCACTGGGCCAGCATGCCACCCATCTAGGAAAGGAGGAGAAATAGGGGTGGAAGAGGGATTCTTCAAAACAAAGATGGCTGTCATATGGAACTTAGAGTACTTATAGTGGCTTAGGAATCGTCTGATTGGTAAATCATGAATTGAATAATGCGGGCCAATTGCAAGCAATCATAAGCATGTGATCCTCTGGAAATTAGTTTATAAATAAACTTCACTTATTTAATATTTTTAATTAATAATCTGGGGTCGCCACAGCGGAAGGAACTGCCAACTTATCCAGCATAAGTTTTACAGCTGCAACCCATCACTGGAAAATATCCATACACACTCATTCACACGAATCCACTACGGACAATTTAGATCAACATCTGTAAGGTGTGAATAATAACAATACAGTAAACCTCAAACTCTGTAAACAAAACAAATGATCATAATCAAATATGAGCTTAAAGAACCAGCCATCATTATTGAAATACATACTGAAACATTACAAATTGTGAATTTGGATGACTACATAACCCCATGCTAAACAATCTTTCAGATGGGGAGCTAGTGGCTGGGTTGCACAAGAAAAGAAACCAAAAAGCCACTCTGGTGGCATCCTTACATCTTTTTATATTTACAGTCTCTTCACTGCTGCTTTACGGCACTCTGGTGTCTCTCGTATCTAGGTCTCGTATCTATGTACAAAAGTAAAAAGCACTGTAGTGTTTGTGTGTGCACTGTTTGTCTGAGGTAATTAGTATACCGTTATTACTGAAATGTGTATATTCCATACAAAGGGTCAAGCAAATGGGTTAGTTCTATTTGCATGAATCGCGGTGCTCACGTGGCATTCTGAAAAGTTCTGATATTTTCAACTAGGTGAGGCTGGAAAATGCTCGCGTCACGTGTATGTGTGTGCCGCTTGCACAACATGTGCATGACGCTCCAATGTGCGTTTCATGCAAGTTGCACTCCTCCATTGGAAATGACAAACTTAGAACCTAAGTTTATCAGCCTTGCTTCCAAGGCGCGCGCTCAGCATCCACATTAACAAAAACTAAAGTCTTCATACCAAAACTTACCCAAATACCGAATCTTTTTTTATCAATATTAAATGGTGTTTGGTCAATAAATGCCATAGTGCAATTTTGTTTATTGTTTATAGTCCAAATATCTACATTTCCAGGCAAAAATATAAATATTTTACGTATCCTGTTGGTAGATAATGTTGCTTGGATAAACTCATAATTGTCACTTATTTCTTCTGAAGATGAAACACAAAAATAGTTTTATTTGATCTAACAATTTTTAGATATTGATACTAGAAATGAGACAAAGCAAAGTAAGAATTCTTTTTTTTTTTGCATTGTGATAATTCAATTTCTGTACCTGAATACTGATAGACTCTCCAGAAAGCAAAATGGTCAAATGAACCACGTTGTGAAAGAATATCTATCGAAGAAAAATAAAACATTGCAATATCAGATTTTACCAATGCAGCCCTATTCTTAAGGCTAACATACTGCTACTAACATCTAAAATAAGCTTTATTTTGATTTGACGTCGGACTTAAAGATGGTCAATGTGAGCTCTTATCTCAATACTTCATAGCTGTCCTTGCTGCTTTTTAGGACTTGACAGGTTACAGATCCAGAGTACCTCGGAGGCATTAAAAATTTACGACATCCAATAAATGCAAGATCACTCTCAGACAACTATCGGATCCAAAGCCCAACTTCTACAAAGAGTTATGATAGGTGATTACCGGCCTGACATTTTCAACTTCCAACTGAATTCAGAGTGTCAAGGTTACACCCTCATTCATTAAAAGTGAGAATTAAAAAAAAGATAAGCCAGATTGCCTGCGCAAAGGTTAGCCCTTTCAATGCAACCCAGACCAAAGAACTCTGGAGACATGGAGGTGGGGGGAGTTTTCTGCACAGGAAAGACCTCTGTGCATTCACAGCTTTCTCCATCTCCTGGATCTCTAAGCTCCTCGGTCTCATTAAAGATGTAACCATGACCTTTCCTCGTATTCACAAACTCAGACTGTGCACAAACATTCGTGTGAATGATTCAGCAGCAAGTTCAAGATGAAGTGCCCTGCATTGGTTCGGACATCACTTGTTCCAGCTGATCAGGGACCTTTCCATCCCTTCAGCAAGCAGAAAAAAAACATAAGCTTAAGGAAACCCAATCGTTTTCTTACCTCGATGAGGAAGTCTCCTGTTCTTAAACCAGCTTTCCATGCCACCCCTCCCTCATCCACAGACTCCAGATACTGTAACGCAGGGAAGGCTGGAGTGGGAGTGAACTCCTCAATGGGGGTATCCGCTAACGTCCAGGCCGATCCAGGCGAGACAGAAGCAAAAGAAAGAGATTGTGAGAATCAAAAGACATTGTGCTAGTTTTAGGAGCCCAGATTAAAGCTAAATCTTAGACTACACTTCATTTTAAGTAAAACGTTTATGAAAATGTATATTATTATTAATACTATTATTAAACATTTAGTTTATTTTTATACTATTTGTTTTGTATTTATAAACATATTTTTTTCAATTATAAATTTATATTATTTGTACGTTAAAACATCTATATTTATATATATATATATATATTATTTAATAAATATATGTAAAAATATATGTAAATATTTAAATGCTTTATCTTACCTATAAATTATATATACACATTGTAAAAATAAATTAGATATTCAATATATTTTATGAGTAAAACATATACATGTCTACACAGAAAAAACTTTCAAAAAGTATCTAAAAATAAGCCATAAAATGTGTCTATATATTTAAATACACACGTATTAGTTGTTTTATTATAGATAGATAGATAGATAGATAGATAGATAGATAGATAGATAGATAGACAGACAGACAGACAGACAGACAGATAGACAGACAGACAGACAGACAGACAGACAGATAAGATAGATAGATAGATAGATAGATAGATAGATAGATAGATAGATAGATAGATAGATAGATAGATAGATAGATAGATAGATAGATAGATAGATAGATAGATAGATAGATAGATTCATTCATCATAATATAATATTATTATTCAGGCAATGTATTATTCATCATCCTCTATTCCATAATTCAACTTGACATTACTCAAAGACATGCTAAAAACAACATGCTTTTACACGTATGATGTGAATGAATGCAATTCCTATGAAACGAGTTCATGCTAGCACAATGGATAATGAGTGCAGTTAAACAAGAGCATCTGGTCGGATGAGACATGATGCAAGCTGCAATGCATCCATCCGACCAAATCAAAAATGAATGCAGGAGTTGGGACATTTATATAACCAGAGAAAATGCATGCATGGATGTCACCGCTGACAGTGTGGGGAGAAGCACTGGTCTGGAGCCTGACAGAACGAGGGCCATCGCGAGAGCTGATGCAGAAAACAGTCAAACAGTGCACCACATGCAACTTCAAGATGAGCTGAAACTGAAAGCAATGCAGCTGCGACACTTTGAGGAGCAGTTTAAGGGATTGTTCACCACCCAAAAAGGAAAATTTCTGTCATCGTTTAGTCAGTTGTTCCAAACCTGAGTGTTTTCTTTATGATAAACACAGAGATATTTTGAAGAATGTTGTACAGCCATTGTCTTTAATAGTATTTTTCTTACTATGAATGTCTGTTTCCAACATTCTTTACAATATCTTCTTTTGCTTTCAGCCGAAAGAACAAACTCCTCTAGAGAGTGAGTAATGATGATTAAATTTACATTTTGGGGGTGAACTATCCCTTTAATGCATCGCAAATGATTCAGGCCATTTATATAAAGGATTTGCAAGTGAATTAAACTCTTCAAGCACAGCAGGAAACAGCTGGACTGTCAGGAAGCCCTCGAGACAAAGTGCCAGCAAAACCCTAATGCAGTCAAACACAAGCCAAGCACATGGAGCAGGGAGTGGGTGGGGGTCTCTGTTTACACTTCACAGATTTGACAAGCCCACTTAAATTCATCGCAGTCAAGTGATGGACACGCTGACACCAAGAGACGCGTTAATCCACAACTTCTTGACATGGATGCAATTCATGCAGCTCAAGCCACGCAGACACATCACATCAAGTGCGCGCGCGATGACGCGCTTTGAAATCAACAGAAATGACGTTAAGTGAGGGGGTACATAAAACGGGGATTGGGATAATAGCGTTAAATGAAGAACCAACAGCGTCTGATTCTCGAGGGTGTGAAGCATGAAGTGAGGAACAGTTATGATAACATGTCCGTCTTTTCCCTACCTTTCGCCCCTCTCAACACGAACCCGAATCCCTCGTTATCCTTCTTCTGCAGCACGACAGTCTTTTCGTTGATAACGCAGTCGCTGTGGAGAAAATTCCGCGCATAACGACCATTATTACAGCCTATCATCCTCATCATCGCCACCGCCGCGCGCGCGGAGTGATGCTTCATCCTGACAGGCGTCGGCTGAGCGGAATTAATCATTTTTGCGACGAAGAGCGCGATGTGAAGAGAGTTGTAACCGCGGAAAAAGCTCACCGCCGGCTTTATCTGTCGAAGAAGGAGCTGTGACACCGGTTAAGAAAGGCAGGGCCCGGTCGCCGGCGAGAGAGCGTGTCGTAAGCGCGAGACATAACCGCCAGATGAAGGATGAAAATCACCAGAGGAAAACATGAGCGGTAATCGTGGAGGAATGGGGATGGAGGAGAGAGAGTGAGAGAGCGGGAGAGAGGGAGTGGGAGAAAGAGAGAGAAAGAGAGAGAGCGGGAGAGAGAGATAGAGAGATAGAGATAGAGAGAGAGAGAAACGGTTTACAGTGCTACAGAGGAAAGAGGGAGCGCGCGAAAGAGAAATGAAGAAGGTATACATGTGCGCGCGCACTGGCCTTTGCTGAGCGCGCAACCTAAAACAATTTTATGCCTTCGTTAAAGGTTGAAATAATTTAAGGAAGCTTTTGTATTTTAGCCTTCTTATGTAGTTTAACGTTTCAAATTATTAATTAAATGGATAGATTCTCCAAAAATGAAAATTACTCACTCTTCACTCACCCTCAAGTGGTTACAAAACTTAATGTGTTTCTTAATTATTCTGAACACAAAAGGAGAAACTTTAAAGAGAGGTGAATGGCTGTAACCGCTGACTTTCATAGAAAAACAAATACTATGGAAGTCAATGTTTAAATGTTTCCAGCCTTCTTCAAAATATCTTCTTTTGTGTTCAGGTTTGGAGGTGAGTAAATGATGACAGAATATTCGGTTTGAGGTGAACTATCACTTTACTATCCCTTAACTTTGAGTATTTTTTTTTATGGAACAAACATAAAAATAAGTATCTAATCGCAAACTTTAAGAAAATAACCTATGGTTTTATAATGGCAAAAGTATAGCAAACAAGGTTTTGAAGTAGGCTATTGTTTTTTTTTGTGTTTTTTTTTTTGTTTTTTTGTTTTTTTTTGTTTTTTACAAATAGTGTTGAACTGGTTAGTGTAGAAAGTTACTTTGTTAATCATTAATTTGTGGTTACTGTGGTTTAATAACAAAATCTTTAATTTCTTTGTAATCATACCATGGTTAATTTTTGAAAGGGATGACCACGTAAGTGATACAAACAAGATAAATCCATGGGGTATGTTACTTCTAAGCTTATGTTTACATGATGATGCTGCATTAGAAAAATATAATAATTAATAACTTTAGAAAGTTTTGCATACATACATTTTTCGTGAAAACAATCCCAACTCACAGTGACCCATCACAGGCACACAACATCATGAGGCATTATAATTAGGTTACATTTAGGTCATGATGTCAGGTAGCCAAAATTCAATACTACATACTACTTAGCTCGCATACTGTTTTTAGCGTAATATATAGTATGGAGGTATGCGATTTCGGACGCAGCTATAGTCTATTTCTGGTTAGATTACAAAAAAACACATCCTAACACCAGGCTACAAGCAAGGGCCAAATTTCACACAATCTTGATGACACTGATCCAGCACTTTCTTCGTAAAATTGTTCAAAACTATTTCATTTGATATATTATCAAATGTAGCCTATGACTTTAAATTTCTATTTCTATTCTATTTATTTCTAAAGTTAATCTGGTGTAAGTGATGTGACTATGCTAAACTTAGAACATTAAAATGAGAAAACCTCACCCCTAATATTAGGTTAGATTTAGATCATGACGTCAGGTGACCAAAATTCAATGTCTAGCCAGCATCTAAGGACGTTATTTTAATGTCCAATAACGAGGTAAAATTATGTTGATATTTAGTTGATTTTAGGTTGTGTTAGAAAGTGACCAAAATCCAACATCTGATAGATGTCATAGTGGTAACGTCTACAGGTGTATCTTAAGCAGACGTTGCTATTTGGTTGATTCTAGGTTAATTTTAAGTTGGATGTTGGACATTGACGTTGGCATGTTGAGTTTTAACATCAACCCGATTTTTATTTCCAAACAAAATAAAAACATCCCAATGTTGGGGTATGTCGGGGTAAAACGTCAATATGACGTTGTGTTGATGTCTTGTTCCTGCAGAGATGAAAAATACTATAAACACTCATGAAAAATTAACTCATGCTAATTTAACATGGTTTTATTATATTAAAACCATTGCTACTGACGCACAAATTACAATTGGTATAACTAGTTGTAACAAAAGAATATATTTTGAAAACTGTAGCCATTGACTATCCAAGTATCTTATTTTATTATGTCAATGGATACCAACATTTTTCAAATGTCCTAAAAAAAAAAAAAGATTTTTGTTCAACAGAAATAAGAAACTCAGGTTTGAAACAACTTCAAAGGTGAATAAATGATGACAATTTTCCTTTAATCATTGGTTTACATATTTAGATGCAACATAAATGTGCTTGAATTTATATTTATTATCTTAGTAAATTTGGAATTAGCCCCATTTTTGCTTTAAATTACTTTAAATTTATCTGTTATTAGAAGGACTAATTGTACTATTTGTATACTGTGGCAGTGGCTTTCCTGAATGCCATAATATCTGTGTGAAACTAAGTGTTACCTCCTGCCTGGCACCATCAATATCCATCCCTAAAACACACCCCGTGAGCAAGCAGATCAATTACGGAAGGTGTTCAACCATAGAAGACACCGGAGACAAGTAGAGTTATGCAGTTTGAATGTGATAGAGATGAAAAGCAAATGTTCTCTCACTTTCCCCTGAAGGACAAGCGAACTTACCATCTTTTAGATGGAGTATTAAAGCCAGTCTTGGAAATCACACTGAATTGCACAGCTTTCAAAGAGCTGGAGTCTCATTTCCACCTGATACTTCGAGTTCATTCATATGAGGAAATAGGATTGTGGCCTGAGCTGCTACATTTTACTGCACTAGACCCTGCAATAATCACTAAAGGTCATGCATGAATCTAGTTTGGTTAAGGCAGGACACTGCAGGCAAAAACACTTTTGTCATGCTTTTTTGCTTGTCATAAAGTTTTTAATCTAATATAAAAAAAATGTTCAAAACAAACTTTAAGTATTTCATTTGTTGCACTTTTATTAGGTTTTTCCTGTGTATTTCAATAACAATATGAATGAAACATTGAATATTGAAATTTTCCGATACTCAATAACAATATACATTTTTAAAGGTGCCATAGAATCTGGATAGCTGAATAATAAAAGTTTACTACATGGTAATTACATACCGTGAGCATCGAACACCATTGTTTTCTCAGTTTCACATAAATCCGATGAGTGTAAAATCCCAGTGAAAAAACAGGCCAATCGGAACTAAACACGGACTTATTAATATGCACGCCCCAGGCTGCTATTGATTGGCCACAACATTTCCAAGCGATATTTCGACAACGTTTTTTTTCCATCTTATCTTCAAGTTTAAATATGCTTTTATTAAACATACTATGTATCTGGAACTCTTATTTTGAAAACTGGAGAAGCAGGATGAAAAAACTGAGCCATGCATCTTATTTTTTTACAGCTCGTCAGAATACATAAACAAATTAAAATCTTATTCAGAGTCCCTCCAATGAGAATGTAGTTGTTTAAATGTATCTTTTGTTGTTTTAACGTGTATATTTGCAGAGTATGCTTGTATTGAGGCAACAAACACATGTAAACTGCTAAATATAAATATTTAATGCATGTTTATGCATTGTGTTATATTACTTAGCTCTTACTGTGCTTTTTTTCTTAAAACAATTGAATACCAATACATTTTTTAAAGCTTGATTTAAGCAGAGGTTAACATGAACATAAACATCTTTTCATATTTAATTAAACAATATCTCATTTGAATGATTAAACATAACATATTAGATTCTTGCAATTCTTAAATGCCATCTGGGGAAGCGTCATGATAACTATTCATTTTTGTGGTTTGTTTTTCTTAAATCAAAGATCTTGAGTTGTTAATACTCCCATGAATATCTTCAGCTTTAACCTGTGAACACCAGATTGCCTGACATACGTCACACTCTAAAACTATAGGAGAAATATTGAAAGAGCTCAAGCGGTAGATTGCTGACTCCTGAGGAATGATGCATGGTTGTCATGGCAACATAATCTGCTTTAAAGGGGACACTGTGGCGATGTCACAGAGCAACAAGGTCATTAATATCCAGGCCTGTTGGATGGGGCTCAATAGCTTGGAAATATTATTTGCTCATAATGCATTTATACCTGTGTGCTGATCTCATTCCTTTTTTTTTTTTGCCGTCTTCTACACAACATTCCATACACAGACCAATATTTACATGCCAATGTGGATTAGGGGTGTAATCATACACTAAACTCATGATATTAAAGTCACAATAAAATATCATTGCTATGTTTAAAGGCAAAAAAAAAAAGGATTTGTTCGGTTTCATTATCATTACAATACTTCTAAGACATACTATAGAGCAGGGGTGGGCAAACTCAGTCCTAGAGGGCTGGTGTCCTGCACAATTTAGCTCCAACTCTAATCAAACACACCAGCCTATAGACTTCTAGTGATCCTGAAGAAACTGATTAGCATGTTGAGGTGTGTTTGATTAGTGTTGGAGCTAAACTATGCAGGACAACAGCCCTCAAGGAACGAGTTTGCCCACCCCTGCTACAGAGCAACAAATGACAAAATGTGCTGATGATTAAAAAGCTCAATTTAGTGTTGACTCGAACAGGGCAATGATAACACCAGAATACAAATAATCATGATTCTGAAGCTGAATTATTAATCATGTTAGTCATATGCTCCTACTTTGTCACTGGCTACATATAAATAGGCCATTTTTAGTGGTAAAATGAGATTTTTGGCATTATCATATGTCCCCTTTGCACTAATAAATTATATCTTCAGTGTTTTATACAAAAGAT